ACACACAGAAAGACAGACACTCACATACAGAGACACACAAACACACACACACAGACAGACAGGCAGACAGACACATACACACAGAAAGACAGACACATACTCGCATACTTGTACACACATAGACACACACATATACACAGAAAAACACACAGAGAGACACACAGACAGACAGACATGGAGAAACACACACACAGAGAAAGACAGACACATAGACGCATACTCGCACACAGAGACACACATACACGTGCATACACATAGAGACCAGACAGACACACATACAGAGACACACAGGCAGGCAAACACACACACACACACACACACACACACGGAATGAATGACGGCTATGTTGGTGCATGCCTGTCATCCCAGCCCCAGCTCTCAGGAAGCAGGAAGCAGAGGCAAGAGGATAGATGTAAGTTTAAGGCTAGCTCAGTGTATACGGAAAGTTCTAGCTAGGCCTGTTGGGGCTCAGTAGTGAGACTCTGTTTCAAAAAATAAAATCATGCCAGGCAGTGGTGGTACACACCTTTAATCCCAGCACTTGGGAGGCAGAGGCACGTGGATCTCTGAGTTCAAGGCCAGCCTGGTCTGCAGAGTGCTTCCAGGACAACCAAGGCTACACATAGAAACTCTGTCTCAAAAAAAAAAAAATCACAAATAACAGGCCTAAAGATGTAGCTCAGTTGGTAGCGTGCTGGCCTAGTATTCATAAAGCCCGGGTTTCTACCCCCAGCACCACCTTCAGATGTGATATTTGCACACCTGGGGAGCTGGCACAGGAGGAGAAGGAATTCAAGGGATTTTGAGCCCATCCTGGGATACATGAGACCCTATCTCAAAGAAATGGAGAAAGAGGGGCTGGAGAGATGGCTCAGGGGTTAAGAGTGCGGGCTGCTCTTCTGGAGGACTTGAGTTCAATTCCCAGTACCCATATGGCAGCTGACAACTGTCTGTAACTCCAGTTCCAGGGGATTCGACACTTTCATGCATATACATGCAGGCAAAACACCAGCGCACATTAAAAAAAGAAAAGAAAAGAAAAAAGAAAGAAAGAAAGAAATGTAGAAATAGAGAGAAAAGGGGAAAGGAAGGGAGGGAGGGGGGAATTATGAAAATGTCCATAGTGTCTGACATTAATATTCTGTGTCTATGTCTCTCTTTCTCTCTGTCCTTTTCTCTGTCTCCCCCCCACACACACTGTTTTCAGGCTCTTACTGTGTGACTTACCTGGCCTCATACTTGCATCCATCCTCCTGCCTCATCCTCCCAATGGCTGGGATTACAGGCATGCACCACACCCTGGGAAGACTCAATTCCTTGACTCATTTCTGTGTGACTCACACACACGCACAGCCCAGTGACCCTGACAACAGAATACCTGGAACTATCTCAAACTGCACAGATTCAAGAGATTGTGGAAGGCAGTGGGTACCGTGGTAGAGTTGCCTGGCACAACGCTGGGTCCTGTCTTAACACTGAAAGAGAAAAACACTATGATCCCCCAAAACTTACAATTTCAGCTCATAAAGATCTGAGTTCAGATGTCATCTCTAATGCAGAAATAGTAGGAGCGGTTGTCTGTGGTTCCAGCAGGGAAGACCACTGACAACACGGACTAGAGCCCTACAACCTGAAGAAGGGCTCATTAAGCTAAGGTCCTGTCTTGACTTGTTTGGTTCCTTCTCAGAGGCTCTAAACCACAATCCACTTGCTGACATTTAAAAAATTATTACATTTTTATTGTGTGCATGTGTTTGTGTGTCTGTGCATGTGTGTGTCTGTGTGTGTATGTGTGTCTGTATATGTCTGTGTGTGTCTGTGTTTCTATGTGTGTCTGTGTGTGTGTTTGTGTGTCTCTGTATATATTTATGTGTGTCTGTATGTGTGTCTCTCTGTGTCTCTCTGTGTTTGTGTATGTCCCTGTATGTGTGACTCTGTGTGTGTTTGTGTGTCTCTGTGTGTTTATGTGTCTGTATCTGTGTGTTTGTGTGTCTGTGTGTCTGTATGTGTATATGTGTGTGTGTCTGTGTGTGTTTTGTATGTCTGTGTTTATGCGTGTGTGTCTGTGTATCTGTCTGTGTGTCTGTGTGTGTCTCTGTGTGCATTTATGTGTGTTTGTATATGTATCTCTGTGTGTCTCTGTGTGTCTCTTTGTGTGTGTTTGTGTGTGTGTCTTTGTGTATGTTCATGTATCTCTCTGTATCTCTGTGTGTGTTTGTATCTGTCTGTCTCTCTGTGTGTGTATATGTGTGTGTTGATGTGCATAACACATTGTACCTGAGAAAATTAGGAGTCAGTTTTCTCCTTCTACC